CTTTCAGGTGCCCATTAAGTGTTGGTATTTTCTAGAGTCCATGTTCATCACTCTTCTTCACTAGATTCCTACTCATCTGTTCTCTTGGCTTCAACTGCCTGCTCCATTGATGACTGTCAAATTATTATCTTCAGACAGGACGTGTATCCTGAGTCCAGTTGCTCAGTCTATCTGTGTACTTGTCTTCATCTGGATTTTTCAGGCACCTAAAGATCAACATATCCAAATATGTTCCCTCTTCTTGTTTCCCCATTTCTTTTACAAGCTAGCATAGTCTAGTGATCGAGAGCACAGATGCTAGGGTTAGACTCTCAAGCTTGAGTCCTAGATCTGTCACTTACTAGCTTTGTGACCCTGAAAACATTACGTGACCTTTCTGTGCCTCAGTTTCTTCATCTATGAAGTGAGAATACCTCATAGGGTTATTATGAGGATCAATAAGAATGTGCCTGGCACATGGTAAACCCTATATAAATATCAGGTATAACCAGATCTTCCTACATTTCCTATATTGGTTAATGACACCACTATTTACCCAGTTACCCAGACCAGAAATGTGAGATTTATCCTAACTCCTTCATATCACTTCATTCCACATCAAAGTGATCAAGTCCTGTCGATTGTCAGTTCTCTCTGTTGTCTTCTCTCCACCTCCACTGTTACTGCCTTGGATTTAACCTTTATCATCTCCTTCCTCAGTGATCTAGACTGGTTAGTGACTAGTCTCCCTGTCTTTTCTTTCCCTTTTTCAACATCCTCCATATAGTCTCCCAGTGATTTGTCTGAAATACAAATCTGATCACTTAAAACTCTTTGGTGTCTTCCTGTTCTCTCAAGAGGAAACAAATACAAGTGAAGGCCTCCAAGGTCTGCTCCTGCTTCCTTCTCCAGACTCTTCACCTCGTTCTGACCTTTCTTTAGTATTTACAGTTCCTTAATGTTCTGTGTTACTTCAGTCTTCCATGTTTTTGTGCGTCCCGATCCCCTGTGGAATGCTTCGTACCCCACGTCTCTTCTCTGAAATTATTTCTGGCCAGTCCCCCAAGCAGAATAGATTATTCTCTGATCTGGGTCAGTGCTTCATCTTGTGTGGAGCTTAACCATAGTACCTGTCATGCTAATTGTAATCATGTGCATGTCATTCTTCTGTAAGACTAAGCTTATTTATCTTTGAATGAATCAGCTATATGAATTAACTTCTTGGAGAGTACGAGTTACGCCTCTCGTCTTCCATCAAGAGCAGATGTTAAACATTTATTTATTGAACAGATCATCTGGTTAATGATCATTTACATCTATATTGAAGAAAACTGTCTCTGTGGTTACTTTATTTGCTGCTAAGGAGGAAGATTCTTCTTAGCTTTGTTGATACTGCAGGTGTGCTCTCCTATTTTAGCCTTCCAAAGGTCAATTATTTCCTAGTGGAGCAATAATAATATTTCTTGAAATATTTCAAGAAACCATGAAAAAGCATTGACTTATTGCCTGACGACCAGCTGTTAAGACTGTGCAGATTAATGTGTTATTGAGTTGGGTTGGGAGAGAAGAAAGGCACTTGAGTTGTAGCTGCTATGTGGCAGAGAAGGAAGCACTCCTCCTGCCTTAAAATCTGTGCAGTGCAACCATAAAGCAGGCATTCAGGCAGTAGAATGGAGTCAACTTAATAATGCTTAGTCTTCAGAGTACTCCTCTCACTCTTTACCTTGGAGGTCCATTTTGGAGGAAAATGGCATACAAATTTTCTTTTTATTTATATATATTAGACCATAAACAAAAAAATGTGTAGTTTAAATCCACAGTAATACTAAAGGCATAGTCATTATTTTTTCTGTAGTAATTTAGCAAAGTAATTTTCCTGTAAGGTGTACTTATGGGAGAACCAACCACTTATTATACAGAAAATAATAAAATTCAAATGGATGGTTGCACTCAATGGCTAATGAATTATTCATGATTCTTTGTGTCCATGCCTTGGCTTCGTATTGATGGAGGCAAGAACAAGGAACCAAAATTTCCAAAGCAGTGCAACTGGTCAACACCAAGGGGACAATTCAGGTGCCGTCTGTGGCTCCTCATCTCCAAATTACATTTATGAAATGTTAAAATATTGTATGCAGAGGCTTTTTTTTTTAGATAAGAGAATGCTACAATATGAGGGAAAATGCACTGTGGCTATATTGTAGCAATAATAAAGGTAATGGTACTACTTTTTTTCTATGGTGCTTGGGTTTTTAAAAAGTTGCCATATATTGCATTTCATTTGATCCCTAGGATTATTTCAGTTTAGTAGCAAGAGAAACAGGTTTAGAGAGAATTTTGCCCACTCAGTGGCGGAGCTGAGGCTCAAAGCGAGGTTCTCTGTGTTTCCTTTGAGGTGTCACCCCTTAGCTCTCCCAGCAGGAGTGTGCTGGGCATACAGTTCTCATGCTGCTGGATCATCAGAATGACATGAATCTTTAGGATGCCAAATTAGCTACTCACTCCTCAGAAGAGAGAAATTTCTCTCTAGTGCTTTTTTGCACTTCAGAGACTCTTATCAGGAGAGACTTCCAAATAGCAGGATTTCGTTACAAATTCTTTTGACTTTTGGTGAAAATATATGTCTTGAGATAGGACTGTGAGAGCCACGAAGGGGGCCAGTAAGTGTGAGTTAGTAAGAAGGGGGTTGGATACCTGAATCCATTTATCACTCTTAATGCAAAGTTCTGTTTACTTAGTAAAAAAGTAGAGAAAATATTTAGATATATCTGTGGGCTTACTTTTCAGCCAAACACATGATGACTATTTGCTATTTAAAATGTTTGCTGCATTCCGTTTTACTTTAATAATGTTCAAAGGGATTGTTACTAAATCTACATTATAAATATATGGTCATAGCATGGGCCGAAACAGATCCCAGCATGAAGATATTAAGTAACTAAACGTTCTTTCTTGCTTCTTCTTTCCTTCCTTTTTCTCTACCCCTTTTTTTTTTTTGAAGGAAATATTTTATTGATTCGTTAAATGGCATTATTCAGACATTTAAGACCTATGTATTTCTCTTTGGCTTCTATACATCCTAAAACCTTATTCATGCTCCTGAAAGCTCTAACAGATGCCCTCCAGCTCTTTGCTCTGAAGTTTTGTTTTGTTTTCCTTTTATCCAATTGATTCTCAAATTAACTTCTTCCTTTTGGTTCTAGGCACAGAATAGATGCTCTGCTTGCTTTGATTAAATTTTCAATGATTATTGAAACCATCCAAACTAGCAAACATTCTAATATAGTTATTGGAGAACATTAAAAGAGTATTTAATTATATGTATTCAGATATGAAGGAGAGTATTGGTTTCTCTCTCTTCTGAACTCCAGTAGTTTATCTGTTTCCTTCTTTAATGGTTTTCTATGTGCATGTCTTTATCTTCCCTTGAGATTTCAAACTCCTGGTGTCTACCTAGTGCAAGACCATGCCCACACATCTCCCTAGTGCTTCTTAGTTTCTCAGTGATTTTTTTTTGATGAATAAATAATATTAGTTATTTAAAGTGGCATTTTTTAGAGCAAATACAAGTCTGTAGTTTCATTATTCTCTATTTTAGTCACTTACAGTGACATTCCAAATGAAACTTTGCCCTTGGAATTAAGGGATAAAATCATTAACTTAGTTAAGAGGCTGTTCAGTATTATTTCCTCTTTCAGAATTTACAGTAGCACTTGCAAAATAAATTAGTGGTAGTAGGAGAAATCTTGCTTAATTTTTTTCTCTCTAACTCTCCATTCTAAAGTATCAGTGGAGCTAAAGGCTTGGGTTTTGCTGCATTCTCGCTGGCCTTTACCTATTTCATAAGCTGCTGTTCATTGAAATCCCATCTGTGTTGAAGCTCTGTTCTGCCAAATTGCCAACAAAACTCCTGGAGCACCCCATGCTAATTGTTGAGTAACGTACCCCGATTTGAGGCCCGTGTTCTCACGTTGTGGTGAGCATCGGAACCTGGAGCTTGTTAAGAGTGCAGACGCTGCACACTTTCCCCTGCACGTTCTGAGTCTGTGGGTTCAGGATGGGTCCTAGCTGTCTGTGGTTATAACACTTGCTAGTGGTCCCAGAGTGACTTTTTCAGAAACACTGCCATTGAGTCAAAAATTTATTTGGAATGGAATTCTGTGATTTTTAAAATGATGATTCTTCTAAAAGTCAAGATGCATTCTAAATGCTTTTAAAAACTTATAGGTACGTTTATAAATTCTTTGACACTGCCAAATCAGTACTGATTTATGTGGCATTACAGATGTAATCATAAAATACTTTCATTGCTGCGGTTTTATTGGTCTAGTGTATATTAACATGCCATTTTAAACACAATCTTTATTTAAAAACTCCCTTTTTAATAAACTCGCATCTATCAGGAATGAGAACAAACAAAACTCAAATTGCAATATTTTTTCTGCTGTTAATTTCTACATACACGATATTTACCTCTATTTAATCCTACATATTATGTGTGACTTTTTATTGGAGAAAAAATTCAGGATATTTTGAAGATACAATCTAATGTGCCTTTATTACTGCTAATAATGGTCAGTATTTGATGGTGCTAATATTGATCTTGAAGTTGGACAGAGTACTGAATTTTTTATTTACCAAAAAGAGTTTAAGGATTAATTTCTGTATCAAGTGTTTTTATAAATGCTGATGCTCTGAAAATAAAAATGAATTGACAATACATAGTAATTTAATGCAAACTTCTATTAATTTCAGCTAAATGAATGAATGATATATTCCAATGAGGTTATTATGATAATACATATGGATTAATATTCAATATAAAGGGCCTTCCTCTCTCTCTCTTTTTTTTTTCGCTTTGCAAGTACTTCTTATATAAGATGGGTGAGTCTAGCGTTCTTTAGACAAGTGATGTATGGAAAGGTTGGCAACTAGGAGAATTACTGTGGAACTTGACAGAAATTTATAGGTGATCAAGATTCCTTAAAATGCCTTAATCTATTATTTCTTTTTTTTTTTAGGGACTTTCTCCCTCGAGGATCAGGCATTGTAACGAGACGACCTCTTGTGCTGCAGCTTGTTACTTCCAAAGCAGGTAATGAATGAGGATGTTTGCCACATGGATGGGCATATCCCATGGCACCTGTTGCCTCCATTCCTGGGTGTGAGGTTGTTACTTCCAAAGCAGGTAATGAATGAGGATGTTTGCCACATGGATGGGCATATCCCATGGCACCTGTTGCCTCCATTCCTGGGTGTGAGGTGTAGCAACAGAAATGTTTTTATGATCACTCTGCTGCGGATAGCTGCCTAATTTCTCTCCAATGCTCCCTTCTTCATTGTTCTTTTAATTCATTTGATTACAGTAAAGGGAAAGCCTCATTTGCCTACAGATTTTTTAACATCTACTATTTTTTATGCCTAGAAAATATTATTGTCTCATTGTAATCCAGCTATGTAATTGTAAAGTACAGCATAACCACTAATATTCCTTTGGTATACTTCCTTGTTGTATATGTGTGTGTGTTTGGGAATTTTTAAGTAACAAAATTCAACATCTGTTTAATGTCTGTATGCATATGTATAGTGTATATATTTCTATATCTATATTTATATCCATATCTGTATCTACTTCTAATATGCTGTGCTTGTCCTTCCTGACACCGTGATAACTAGATAGGCAAATGAGCTTTTTTTCCCTTTTTTCTTTTTTTTTTTTGTAAGGAAGATCAGCCCTGAGCTAACATCCATGCCAATCCTCCTCTCTTTTTGCTGAGGAAGACTGGCCCTGAGCTAACATCTATTGCCAATCCTCCGCCTTTTTTTTCCCTTTTCCTCCCCAAAGCCCCAGTAGATAGTTGTATGTCATAGTTGCACATCCTTCTAGTTGCTGTATGTGGGACACCGCCTCAGCATGGCTGGACAAGCAGTGCGTTGGTGCGCGCCTGGGATCCGAACCCGGGCTGCCAGTAGCGGAGCGCGTGCGCTTAACCGCTAAGCCACGGGGCCGGCCTCTCATTTTTATTTCTTAGCAACTGGTGTGTTGAAGTTTTTTCATGTTTATTTGGTGTTTGTATTTCTTCTCTTGTGAATTGGCTGTTTTTATCTTTCCCCATTTTTTTTTAAATTTTACTACTTTTTCTTATCAATTGCTTTGAATGCTTAAGATTTAAGCACTCATAAAAATCACGCCTCATAATTTGCAAAAACCGAGGTCATGAAGGTATACCCCTATGTTTTCTTCTAAGAATTTTATAATTTTATTCTTACATTTAGGTCTTGGATCTATTTTGAGTTAATTTTTGTATACGGTATGAGGTAAGAGTCCAACTTTATTTTCTACATGTGGATATTCACTTTTCTCAGCACCATTTGTTGAAAAGGCTATTCTTTCTCCATTGTATGTTTTTGGCACCGTTGTTGAAAATCAGTTGGCCATAGATATATGGGTTTATTTCTGACTCTCAATTCTATTTAGTTGATCTATATGTCTATATTTATGCCAGTTTCGTACTGTCTTAATTACCCTTGCTTTGTAGTAAGTTTTAAGTTGGGAAGTATGATTCCTTCTACTTTGTTCTTCTTTTTCAAGATTGTTTTGGCTATCCTGAGTCCTCTGTAATTCTACATGAATTTGAGAATCAGTTTGTTTCATTCTCGGAATATAAGATTGGTTCAACATCTGAAAATCAAGTAATATAATGTATCATATCAGTAGAATGAAAAACAAAAGTCACAGGATCATCTCAATAGATTCAGAAAAAGCTTTTGAAAAAATCCCACACCCTACCATGAAATGCTCAACAGACTAGGAATAGATGAGCACTTTCTCAGCCTGATAAAGGGCATGTATGAAAACCCGACAACTAGCATCATACCAAATGGTGAAAGACTGAATGCTTTCCCTCTAAGATCGGGAACAAGACAAGGATGTCCACTCTTGCCACTTCTATTCAACATTGCACTGGAGGCTCTAGCCAGGGTAACTGGGCAAGAGAAAGAAATAAAAGGCATCCGTTGGAAAGGATGGAGTAAAATTATTTCTATTTGCAGATGTTATGATCAAGTACACAGAAATTCTCTAGGAATCCACTGAAAAACTATTAGAACTAATAAATGAGTTCAGCAAGGTTGCAGGATACAAGATCAAGGGGCACATATGTATGGTGACAGAAAAAAACTAGACTATTGGTGGTGAACATGATGCAGTCTATATAGAAACTGACATATAATAATGTACACCTGAAATTTACACGTTATAAGCCAATATGACCTCAATAAAATAATTAAATAAAAACAAGATACAAAAATCAATTGTATTTTTTTCCCAATCAAAAAATGAAAGAAAACAATTCCATTTACAATAGCATCAAAAGAATACACTACTGAGCCAGCCCTGATGGCCTAGAGGTTAAAGTTTGGCGCTGGTCACTTCCCTGGCCACAATTCATTTCCTGGTTATGGAGCCATACCACCTGTCTTTCAGTTGGCATGCTGTGGTGGCGGCTCACACAGAAGAACTAGAACAACTTACAACTAGGATATACAACTATGTACTAGGGCTTTGGGGAGAGAAAGAAAAAAGAGGAAGATTGGCAACAGACGTTAGCTCAGGGCGAACTTTCCCTGCAAAAAAAAAAAAAAAGAGAAGAAGAAAGAATACACTACTTAGGAATAAATTTAACAAAAGAAGAATAAAACTTATGTTCTGAAAACTACAAAGCACTGTTGAAAGAGATTAAAGAATATCTAAATAATTGGAAAAACATCCCATGTTCACTGATTGGAAATCTTTAATGTTAAGATGGCAGTGCTTTCCAAACTGACCACAGATTCAATGCAATCCATATCAGAATCTCACCTGACTTTTTTTGTAGAAATTGCAGATTTTTTAACCATTTTTTTTCTGTGAGGAAGATTAGCCTGAGCTAACATCCGTTGCCAATCCTCCTCTTTTTGCTGAGGAAGATCGTCCCTGGGCCAAACACCTGTGCCCATCCTCCTCTACCTTATATGGGACGCTGCCACAGCATGGCCTGATAAGTGACACATGGGTCCCTGCCTGGGATCTGAACCCGCGCACCCCAGGCCTCCGAAGCGGAGCGTGCGAACTTAACCCCTACGCCACTGGGCTGGCCCCATTAACTATTTTTTAATGTTAAAAAAATCTGTACTAAGTTTGATCCAAAGAAATGGACTCAAATGCTATCATTTGAAAACAGTAAATTCCTTACAAATCTACACGCACCAGCCACTATTCTAAGCTCTGGAGATAGAGCAGTGAGTAGGACCAAGTCGCGGCCCTTCTGGTGATTTATATTCTGGTTATATTATTTCTAATGTATAGAACTTTCACTCTTTATGGTTATAAAATTTATACATTTAAGTTTAATAAAAAGTAACTATTTAGGACAATTTTCTTCCCTTTCCTACTTTAGTTTTTAACATTTTGTTCTTATCTGGAATTTATTTTCATGTATGCCAAAATAATTTGTTTCTCAAATAGTCTCGTTTATCCTATATTACATTCTTTTTTTTATTTTATTTTTTTATTTTTTTTAATTTATTTTATTTTATTTTTTTTAATTTTTTGTTTATTGCAGTAACATTGGTTTATAACATTGTAAAAATTTCAGGTGTACATCATTGTACTTCTATTTCTGCATGGACTACATCATGTTCACCACCAAAATACTAATTACAACCCATCACCACACACATGTACCGAATTATCCCTTTCACCCTCCTCCCTCCCCCCTTCCCCTCTGGTAACCACCATCCTATATTACATTCTAACTGCAATCTAGTTCTGAATATTGTTTCTGTTTTATTGTGCCAATTCCACGAAGCCTTTTATGGCTTTATAATTTGCTTTGATATCTGTCAGAGCTATAGTCCTTCTCCCATTACTTATTTTTACGGAGGAATTCTTTTCTATTTGTGTGGCAAAGTTTAGAATAATTTTGTAAAGGCAAAACTATTGCCACTAGAATTATTTTAACTTCATTAGATTCATTAGAGAATAATCAATACCTTTAAAATATTCCTTATTTTTTCCAATCCGGGGACCATGCTATCTCCTTTCATTTGCTCAAATCATCTCTGTATCTCTTAGTAAAATTCTTGATGGTTTTTATGTCACATTCATGCATTTCTAGTTAGGGTATTCATATTTATTTTTTGTTGTTCTTGTGGTTTTAATAGAGTTTTTTTCATTATATTTCCTGACTCCTCATTGCTGATCTATGTAATAGCTGCTATTTTTAATTTTAATTTTTAAATTAGTCATCTTACTCTACATTTGACAGATCAAAATATTTTTAATTGATTCTCTTGGGTATTTCAGTTATAAAGTCATTTCATCTGCATTTCTTAATTTATTCAACAAATACTTACCATGCAAATACTGGGATGGCCGAGAAAAGAGACTTATTGACCAGAATATTAAAAAGCTCCATCACAGTGGGGGCTTTTTGGAGAGAACTGACAAGGGAAAAATACTTTTCCACCTTGAACTCCTTTGAGAAGGTGCATCACATGCTTCTTCCTATGCCCTATTGTCAACAGTCTCCCAGTCTTGTCCCTTCTAAGCCCCTGACCGTTCTTTCGTTACTTCCCATTAATCAGCGAGGATCATCCCTCACACCCTACTTCTCTGTTCATGCAAAGTGGACTAGAAATTCTTCCCCAGGGAAAACTTACTGACCTCACAATCCTTCAGGGACCCCCAAAATGGGGCTTTCACATTGCATCACTCTACTCTGGATGATGCCAGCTGAGAACTAGGCTCAGTTTTTTTTTTCACCCTAAGGGAACTGTTCACAGGTGTAACTACAGGCTTGGGTTGATGGAGGGCTGACAAAATGGCGGAGAGAAGCAAGCTGGGGTATATGTCACTGCTCATACAATTTACTTGTGCCTTCAGGTCCTAATTGGGATGCGTTCCATAAACACTACTTTCTCTTGATGGATTCGTTCGTTCAACCAATGTTTATTGAGTGATTGCTGTGTACCAGGCAAACGTCCCTGTCATCGTAGAGCTTACGTTCTAGTGGGGGAGAAGCCAACAATAAGCAAAACAAACACCCAGAATGT